TTTTCCAATTCTTTTTGTTTTGTTTTTACTTGCACATTGCCTGGTTTTCATCCAATTTTTTTTCTTGAAATACCTCAGGTTTCTCTCACAAGTATTGTCATCTCTTTCCCACTGATTGTGATATCTAAACTCAGGCAAAATTTCTGAAATTTATTTTTTAGCAATATACTCAAATCATCATCATCATCATCATCATCATCATCATACAGGTATAATGACAAAGTGCTACAATAGTTTAGCAATGTTAAACTAGTTACACATTAGATTCATTTTGTTTCAGTGATCTCTGTTAAATCTTGGATACAATAGTTGTTTTTTCACTGTTAGTGGCAACCTTAGCTATTTCTAGAATACATAGACCTGTTACATGAGGGATTTGTTTAGGGACCTTTCTTGCAAGACCATTTTTACATAATATCTGGAGCCTTTTCCTCCCCAACCAGCACACTTTTGAAAGCTGAAAATATTGTACAGTTCACAGTCAAATATCACCCATTCCTTCCATTCATATGCTGCCCTGTAAATGGAAGAGTAGCTTTTTTCCTGTCTCAAAAGCATTGCATAAAAAGCAATGTGTAGCTGAATAAAAAGAGGAGCTGAAGGGAAGACATACATGTTGGGATACAGTCTACCCATACCAATGTCTTAAAAATCCCCTCCTTTAGTGTGAGACACTTTCACTATTTGAAGGATTGTTACACAGAAGATGAAGCAAATTTCATTTTTGCTGCCTTAGAGCAGAATTTTCAAAACAGTGTCAGGACACACTAGTGTGCTGTCTGTTGTCCGCAGGTGTGTTACATCCGAAATGCTCCCCCTCCTGCTCCTGCCCCCACAAACAAAGGATGCCTGATGAGGAAGTGCATTGGCTGATCCTAGAGGAGGAAAAAGAAGGGACCACCAAAGGGTATCTAGTCCAACCCACTTTAGCCAGGCAGGAAGACACAATCAAAGCCCTCCCACAGATAGCCATCCAGACTCAGTTCAAAAACCTCCAGAGGAGACTCCACTGAACTCCCAGGTAGTCTGTGCTTCACTAGAGTTGGAGAGACCCCCCAAAGGGCATCTAATCCAACCCCCTTCATTGAGGCAGGAACACACAACCAAAGCCTTCCCAACAGACAGCCATCCAACCTCCATGCAGAGAGGTTTAATCCCTACAAAAGTGGAGTGCTTGTAAGTACTGGTTAAAGTGTCGGTACTATTCCATTTAAGGTGGAATCAGGTGTCAAACAGGGATGTGTTATTGCCCCAACTTTATTCTCCATCTTCATCGCTATGATACTTCACCTTGTTGATGGGAAGCTTCCCACCGGAGTGGAAATCATCTATCGGACAGATGGCAAGCTGTTTAACCTCATCAGACTGAAAGCCAAAACCAAGGTCACAACAACATCTGTTATAGAACTCCAGTATGCCGATGACAACGTCATCTGTGTGCATTCAGAAGAAGATCTACAAGCCACTCTAAACACCTTTGCAGAAGCATACGAGAAGCCTGGCCTGTCATTGAACATCGAGAAAACCAAAGTGCTGTTCCAGCAGTCACCAGCCAACCCTTTTCCAATGCCAGAAATACAGCTTAATGGTGTAACATTAGAAAACATTGACCATTTTCTCTACCTTGGCAGCCAATTCTCTACAAAAGTCAACATCGACACCGAAATACAACACCACCTGAGCTCTGCAAGCAAGGCATTTTATCAAATGAAGCAGAGAGTGTTTGAGGACCGAGACATCTGTACGGTTACCAAGGTGCTTGTTTACAAAGCTATTGTCCTCCCAACCCTGCAAAATGTGGACTGTCTACAGACGTCACATGCAACTCCTGGAACGATTCCATCAACGCTGCCTCTGGAAAATCCTGCAAATTTCTTGGGAAGACAGACGGACAAACGTCAGCGTGCTGGAAGAAGCAAAGACCACCAGCATTGAAGCGATGGTCCTCCACCATCAACTCCGCTGGACCAGAGTTTCGGCCCCAAAAACAAAAAACAAATATTTGACCACCCGATTTTGGGAGGCTCAGACGAAATGGATTGGGGACACCACTGAAAATCAGAACACGAAATGGATGAAGGTAAGTCCCAAATGCACATGACTAGCGCACAGTGATTGACTGGTACAGTGGTTAATTTACAACAGAAAAAATAATCCTAAATATACCAATTTTGCCCGCTTTTAACAACATTTTTAGTTTTGTAAAATAGTAACTGGGGGTGTATACCACAAAATTGGAAAGTGTTGCTTGGATATGAATACAGCAGGAATACATATATGTCTTCAAAAGATCTGATTTTTCACACAAAGACATTGACCTACCAATGGCTCTCGGAGTCAAATTTCAATTGAAACTTAAGCATATAGGAAGACAAGCAGGCCATACAAAAACCACTGGATAAAAAGTATATCAATGAAGCCTCTTCAAAGCTGTGTGTATTTCTATATTTCTATATTCACAGTACATCATGCTCTGAGTAAGTGACAGATACTTTTTCTTCTATTCTTACAGCATTTGTGAGAGTTTATAGTAATCTCCAGAGAAACAATGTGATTTGAAATTAAAAGTTACCCATATTAAGTAAAATTAATATCCACAAAGAAAATATCATTAGTGCTTCAAATCTGTTTGGAGATATTACCATCCAGGAAAAAAAATGTAATTGCTGTACTTGTCTAATGTGTTTTAGGGGAAGTAACGTCTTTAAAACACAAGCCTGTATTACTTATAAAATTCCTTATATTAATAAAGGCATTTGCGTGCATTTTATAACAATTAGTGGTTTTCTCTCTCTCGCCAAGTGCAACCATTGCACAGAAAAGCAGAAGAAAAACCCAGAACAGCATTACATTAGTGTTTTTAAAAAGTAGAAACAGAAATAATTTACTATAGATCCTTATCATAAAGGCCGCTGGAGTTGCCATGGATCATAGCGAATTTGGCAATGCCTGTTGGGGGGCGTGGGGAACCCGTCACTGCATCATCCGGCATCCTGGCATGCCGATCCCATAGAGAAAATGTCTACCATGCAGCTTCCTCCATTGCTTCTGGTTCATCACAGGAAGTCTTCTATGTTGCTGTCTCATGGACATACACTGGTTCCACTATAGCAGTGGTTCCCAACTGTGGTCCTTGGACCACCAGTGGTCCACAAGAACTAAAATATGGTCTGTGGCCTCACCGTTACTACATTGTTGCAGTGAGAGCAACTGGTCTCACAAAACCCTCTTACAGTGCTGAGGCTTATTAAATATGGTCCTCTGTGGGTGAGCAAATGGTGACTAGACTACTGGATGGCATATGTTCTGTATCAGAAACTAGAGCTGATGTGGTCTATCCAATGCAATGCAGAACCCCGAATAATCAAACCAGATCTAAAGTTGACCAAAACCAGATTTATAACCCTTTTAGTACTAATGTTAGAGAGTGGACCCTGCTCAAAAAAAGGTTGGGAACCACTGCAGTATAGTTTACCCACAAAGCTCTGTGGGTAAACTACGTCTGAACTGGCTTATGCTGCCGAAGTAAGCCCCACCTGAATGAGGTCATTAGTCTGCTTATATGGAGATGGCCACTCATGTTGCTGATGCATTACATGAAAGAAAATACAGAATAACACTTTGGAGTGCAGTCATTTAACACCTTTGGACTAGCAGGATATGCATATAATATGCATAGTTGTGCATTTTCTGTCTTTTGGTACTTAGGAGCATCCTGTTATTTTGCTTATTCTTGGTTGCTAGTAAACTTATTCAACTGTGTTTGCTTTCTTTATCAATGTCAGAAATGCAGCTCCCCCCCCCCCTTGCTGAAAATGTCACCATCTCTCGTGCAACAACCCATTTGCAAGTCAGCAACAATAAATTTGGGCAAGACTGTTCTGGGGATGCTTTTACCTAATTGTAGGGTGACTGTTTCCATTCAAAGTGTTGCTTGTTTAAATTTTAACAATACTGAATTCTACTTAATTTTTACCTACGGAAGTGCCAATTTATACAAAACTTTATATAGTATTTTAAGGGTGCATCTCGCCATTGATTTATGTAGATTTTAATGATTCTAATGATTTATATCATATTTTAATTGTGTATTTTACATTATATTTTTAAATCTGGCTTTTAATGTATTTATTTGTCTGTTCTATATGTGAAAGATTTATGGTCTAAGCATTAAATAAACTATCTATCGGTGGGTTGCTGTGAGCTTTCCAAGCTGTATGGCCATGTTCCAGAAGCATTCTCTCCTGACATTTTGCCCACATCTCTGGCAAGCATCCTCAGAAGTTGTGAGGTCTGTTGGAAGCTAGGTAAGTGAAGTTTATATATCTGTGAAATGTCCAGAGTGGGAGAAATAACTCTTGTCTGTTTGAGGCAACTGTGAATGTTGCAATTGGCCACCTTGTTTAGCATTGAACGGCCTTGCAGCATCAAAGCCTGGCTGCTCCTTGCCCGGGTGCATCCTTTGTTGGGAGGCATTAGCTGGCCCTGACTGCTTCCTGTCTGATTCTGGCCATGAAAGCCTTCGACAACACAAACTATTCATTTATCATAAGTGGATTATAGCATTATTATTGCAGAGTGTTAACAGGCTCATGATCCTTTTCTACTACCACATTGCAGGGTTGATTTTGACCTTAACTAAGTATTACTGGAGTTATTTGTGGCAGTTCTCTCGGCAAGCCCTCTGCTGCGCCATCAAAATTAAATACAAAATCATGACCTCGCAAATAGTTTGAGGTCTCCTGCATAGTGAATCCGACCTACTCTCCTTTTGAAATGGTCAGGATATAATGCTCTGCCAATAAGGTAACCAGGAAGTGAACCTGACGAGCCAGTTCTTTTTTGTTGTCTGAAAGCGGTATCTATTGGCAGGAGCCAGCGGCGGGGGATGGCCTTCTTCTTTGCTGCCTTTTAACTGTGCATGTTGAAAACCAGGCATATGCTAATGATCTGGAAGGGCTAGGAATTTTTCTGTTGCTTAGAAACAGGAGTCTCACAAACCGCATCACAAGAGCTGACTAGAATATCACAGGAGCAGAGTAAGTCACCCTCTCCTAAAACAGATCACCCTTACGTTAAATTCCAGCAGATATTTTTAGACTGTATGGGCTGTGGCAAGTGCGGGCAGAGGAGGAGTGTCATTGCAATCCATGGTTTTGCTTGCAAATGATTCCTTGCAAAAAGAACAGTGGGAAAAGAAGTTTGCTATAGCAGATACAGCATGGGGGCCAGAACTGCCAGGTCCAGTCCAATGGGGGTAAGTGACTCCAGGTTTCTCCCAAGTGCCAGCTACAAACACACACTCAGTAAACTAAACAGTTCAAGAAAGCCCTTTTGGAGTAATTTTCTTTGTAAAATACCTTGTGCGGATTGATATTACAAACTCTGTTTTCAAAAGAAATCATGCAAGTGGAAAACTGCTTAGAGATCCAAGTAATTTAATACTACTTTTTAGCAGAAACCATAACCATGCAATTAAGCTGTTAGTTTTAGCCAGCAGAGGCAGGAAGCATAAGGATTTCCTTGCTGGATTATGACTCTGGAGACCAGGGTTTGAATCCCATCCGGTCAGGAAAACCACTGGGTGCCCTTGGGCAATTCATGCTCTCAGCCTCATAGAAAGGCAGTGCCCTTCACCCCTCATCTCGGCAACACATCTTTCCAAGAAGACCCATGATGAAGTCACTCAACAGTATTTATAGTGTTCCTTCACTTATTGCAGGCGTTACATTCCAGGATCACCCGCGGAAAAGTGAAAATCTGCAAAGTAGGGATGCTATATATGTATATTGCTTTCCGAGGTGAGGCAGAAGCGAGGAGAGATTTTAAGGCACTGCACTTTATTGTTTTTGCTAGCTTTCTCTGTTTTGCTTTGCAATCCCTCTTGATTGGCTGCCTCTCTCCCGAAGGGGGGGGGGTGAAATCCCCTTCCACACTCCATCGTTGCCAGGAGGCGGGATTAGAATGCCGCTCTGGGCAACGGCAACCATTCATAAACTGGGAGGCAAAAACCAGCAAAACAGTGAGTCTGCGAAAAGCGAACTGCGAAGTAGCAAGGGAATACTGTATCCAGCAATTGAAAATGGATGACTGGTTGGTTGATGCGGTTCTTCTCTCAGATCAAATTATATATGTAGATCAGGTTTTTGAAAAATGTTGCTGTGTTTGATACTCTGGTGAAGCTTAGGGACCCCTTCTCAGCATTGTACATCTGTAGCTTCCTTAACAGAGGATGTCTAATAACTATAATAATTTTGAAGTAGCGATGAACTTAATATTTCAAGGTATCAGCACCAATGGTTGTGAGATGGTGAAAATATGTGTGATTTCTGATGGTGACAAAATTGCAGGTACAGTAGAGTCTCATTTAAACGACCTTCGCTTATCCGACATTGTCTTATCCAATGCCCCTAAACAAACAAACAAACAAAAAAAAACTATAAATCAGTGACAAGAAAAGTCTGCCAGCTCACAACCTCTGAGGATACTTGCTATAGATGCAGGCAAAATGTCAGGACAGAATGCTTCTAGAACATGGCCATATAGTCCGAAAAACCTACAACAACCCAGTGATTCCAACCATGAAAGCCTTCGACAATACCGTTTGCCACTTGTTTGGGAATGTGACTGTACTCGGTCTTGTTGCTCCTAATGATGAGGCACCACAATGCAAAAAATCGATTACAACAGGTCCACCATGTGCACGCGCCTAGCCTATTACTCATGTATCAGTCATGTCTCACCTTTCCTAATGATCGCTTAGTGGAGTTTGTTATAGTACACGGAACGGTTTGCTGCGTGTTGCTGTGCAGTGTTTATGCCCATTTTTTCTGAACTTTGCGCAAGTATGGCGACGAAAAGAAGGAAGGTGTATTGAAGTACCTTTTCTGTCGATTTGTTTATGTGCTTACTTTGTAAAATCGTAACACAATTTGACATTTAATATACTTTTCTTAATCTCTCCATTTTATCTGACATTTTGTTTATCCGACGTTCTGCCAGCCCATTTATAATAATAATAAAACTTTATTTATACCCCACCACCATCTCCCCAAGGGGACTCGGGGCGGCTTACATGAGGCCAAGCCCAACAACACATCAGTAAAAACAAAACAGCAAGCAAATAAAACAGTACAATTAATATATGTCGGATAAACAAGATTCTACTGTACTACTATTACTTGAAAAAAGGTTAAATTTCAGTTAGAGAGATTGGTGAATTTGTTTCACCCTATCTTAGTTCATAGACACCCTAGAACCTTTTGGATGTGATCCAAGGATAAGAACTACTGATGTAGATAATAGGCTTGGTTGATCCCCCCCCCCCCCCAAAAAAACTTGTTTAAGATATAGGGGGCACTGTTGTTTCGATTTGGAATTGAGATGAAGGTGAGAAAGGGGGGAGAGCAAGAGCTCCATGTTTAAAAAAAACCTTTTCCTCCCAGGGCCCATCCAGACAGGTCCAAAACACTGTACCTGTCTGGTTTTTTTACCGGGGGCGTCCAAACAACATGCCTGGGAAAAACAAATTAATTTGGAATAACCTCGGTTATTCCAAATTAATTAAATACCCTGTTAGATCTGGGCCTTCCTTAAAGGGGGGAAGAAACAGCAGGGACATCATTGTGGGAGTCTACTACATACCTCTAAGTCAAGAGTTACAACTTTGATGATGCCTTCCCAGAATAGAGTGATGTAGTAATAATGGAAGATTTGAACTATTCTGTTATTTCTTGGAAGACAAACTCTGCTAAGAATATCATGTCTAACAAACTCCTGACTTCTCTTGCAGACAGTTTCATGGTCTAGAACAGCTGTTCTCAAACTTGCTCCGGGGAACCTCCTCTGGGGTTTCTATTATTATTATTATTATTATTATTATTATTATTATTATTATTACAAAGGCTGGATGGCAATCTGTTGGGAGTGCTTTGACTGTGTTTTTCTTGCATGGCAGAAGGGGGTTAGACTGGATGGCCCTTGGGGGTCTTCCACTGACGTGTATGTTGATTAAAATTGTTCTTCATTTTAAATATTGGGGTTGTTTTGGGGGGGATGGTTGCACTGTGTGAATTAATTCACACAAAACTCTCCATCCATCTTCCACTGGCCCAGCCCATGCCTCAGATAGATAGATAGATAGATAGATAGATAGATAGATAGATAGATAGATAGATAGATAGATAGATCACATTTCTTGGGGCTCCACAAGAAACTTTTAGTTCGAAAAGGGCTCCAGGGCTGAAAAAGTTTGAGAACTCCAGGCCTAGAAGGTGGAAAAGGCAACAAGGGAATCATGAACTGGTAACTGGGGTAGAAGCAGTGGATTCCTTGGGCAGGGGTGACCATGTTCTTCTAGAGAAGAAGTGTCAAACTCATTTTCAGCATGGGCCACATCAACCTTCAAAGGACTGTTTGTAACTATGTTGCTCTGTTATTGAAAGCCTTGGTACTGAAAACCTTTATGTGAAAGCCACATAAAATGACACGGTGAGCTAGATTTGGCAGTGAGCCAAGAACAAGTCCAAAAGCAGCAGAGGGTAGGGTTGCCACATCCCACTTTTCAGTTTTTGTAACTGTCCTTGAGATTTCTTCTGGTATTATTGGTTTGTTTCACATTTGTTGTTGTTCTTCCAATATTTGAGGAGTATTTTGTGTCTGTAAAGATTATTTTAATTTGTTTTATAGAGATTAGGTACTTCTTAACAAATTGGAATAAATTTTGTGGAATACCTGTAACATTTTCTGAATTTATAGGCTAACCATTTCCAGGTTTATTTGCTGATTTATAGTCTTTATATTTCATGTATTTTATCTTTTTCTCGATTTCTCCTACAGTCAACATTGATAATTGTGATGATATCTTTACGTTTTGCAATATTTTTGTGTTACTTACATTCTTCTTTCAATTTTTCTATTCCTTGAGCAATCTTTTTCTGTTGTTCTGCTGTCTTTCCCCGAGTCTGATTGCTGTATGAAAAAGTCCTCTCATCACTTTACTTGCATCCCAGACTGTCCTGACTTTCATAACTCTAACTAAATTATTTTCAAAATATTTCTTTATCCTTTTCTTTGATTTTTCTACTATTTCTTCTTTTTTGCAATATGATTCCATTTAATCTCCAACTGAAAGTTACTTTTTATTCTTCAGTTTCAGAACTATTAGATTATGATCTGAGAAAATTCTTGGTATTTCATTTTTATTATTCTTGTCAGAAACGCTTTTGACAACCAATACATGTCTATCCCTAAAATATTTATGTCTTTATAAACAATATTTTTTCTTCTCCATGTTTTGCTCTCCACTATTATGTATTGGATCAAAAAAGTCTTTAGAAGTTTTCCAGGATTCTGTTTTTATTTTTGTCTGACTTTCTGTTCAATGAAGGAGACAATATTCCAGTCAAATCTCAGACGATGAATCTACCTGGTGTGATTGGATTGGACAAGCGTAGTAAAGGAAAGAACAAGCAAATGGTAGGCTACTGCGTACAGATGATGGGGAAATGCTAACAGAGAAAAGGCAGAACTACACCACACATTATTTGCCTTGGTCTTCTCTCAAAAAGTCAACAGTGCTCAACTTAGGAGGCAGCAGTAGGAGAAATGCAGCACAGAATAGTTGAGGAGGCAGCACAGAAGTATCTGGCTATTATAAATGATTCAAGGACCGGTCGAATTGCATCCAAGGGTATTAAAAGAACTGGCAAAAGTAATTTCAGAACCGCTGGCAATCATTTTTGAGAATTTTTGGAGAACAGGAGAAGTTCTAGCAGACTGGAAGAAGGAAATATTGTCCCCCTCTTCAAAAAGGAGAAAAAGAGGACTCAAAGAAATATCACCCAGTCAGCATGACATCAAATGCTAGGAAAAATTCTAGAGCAAATTAGTCAGATGGTCTGTAAGTACTTAGAAAGTAGTGGCATGTTTACAAAAAGTCAAGAAGGGCTTCAAACTCAGTAAATTAAGGAAATGCTGTAGATGTAGCATAACTTGATCTTAGTAAGGCTTTCAGCAAGGTCCTCCATGATAAATGTTG